CTTAGGTCTCGAAGCCCCAGCCTTCTAATCACATGGTCTTTCTGGAGTGGCCAGCCCCGCCCCTAAGACCACAGGGGGCTCCACCCTGAATCATCTTGTTAACCTAAACTATCAGGTGTGACCCGAGGGATGCATGACCGATAGCAAAGACGTGCCTATCAGAAATCCCAAGAGTTCATAGGTCAACCAAGGATCCCTGGTGGCGCAAGTTCCCAGCTGCTAACTGTAAGGTTGCCGGTTCGACCCACCACGCCCTCCTGAGAATGAGGATGTGGCAGTCAGCCCACATGCAGATTCACAGCCTTGGGGATCCAACGTGGCAGTTCTACTCTGTCCTGTAGGGTCAGTGTGCGGGACAGTCAGCTAGATGGCAATGGCTTCTAGAGGTTAATCCCTGAGAACCGAGCCCACGTGATCCACACAGGTTAGTCATTTCTTCACTAGGCAGAAGAACATGGGTCGGGACAGGAGGGGAAATGGCAAAGCCATCCAGTGTCCAGCAGTTGTCCAGCACACCTGCCGGGACCCAAGGATGCTGAGCCAGAGACGGGTCCCCTGTCACAGCCGTGCCATCCGAAGCAAACTGTGGGTCGGGGCTCGTTGAGGCGGTGTTTGAATGCTTGCATGAGACCAGGGGAGAAGGACAAACTTCCCAGCACATCCTGGAGTGAGCAGAAGGGTCCCCCAGGACAGGAGGAGAACATGGGCCCTCTCCCCCTGCGGGGACAGAGCTCAGGAAGGTGCATGCACTGCCACCTGCAAGGAGCCACTCCCAAACTGGCAGGAACTGGCATGGGGCCTGCCAGTCTATCGTCTGTCCTCTCCCTTGACTCCGGGGCACGAGGACCAGCCCGGCCCCTCTGAGGCTGCAGCAGCTTTCTTTCAGGTGGTGAAAGAGCCAAAACGAGCCTTAGGGTCTGCCAGTGAAACCACTCGCCAACCCTGTTGCGATCACTAAGCCCCTGGGCCTCAGTTTCCTCATCTTTGCGGTGGATCTCTTCCTCCTGGGGTTCGTACAAAGCGTGAGTGAGGGCCCGTGGATTCCACTAAATAAAGGTAACTACTGCTAGAGGCAAGGAGTCCTGGAGGCACTGTCGGGTAAGCGTAGGACTGCTAGCCACAAGGCCAGCAGTTCGAAACCACCAGCTGCCCCGTGGAGAACGATGAGGCGTTCTACTCCCGTGAAGAGTTACGGTCTCGGAGACCCACAGGGGCAGCGCCACCTTATCTAATAGAGTTGCTTTGATTTGGAACCAACTCGATGCACCTGCCAGAGGCAAGGAGCCCTGGTGGCACTGTCAGGTGAACATTGGACTGCTAAGTGCCAGGTTGGAGGTTCAAACCCATCTGCCACACCTCAGGAGAAAGCTGAGGTTGTCTGTTCCCATGAGGTTATCTGTTCCCATCCTCAGAGCCCCTCTATGGGGCCCCTGGGCAGCAGCAGCAGCTCTATGCAGTGGACTTGATTTGGGGGTATTGTGCTGCTAGAGCCAACAGCACACGGGGGCTCAAGAATGCACTGTCGACCCAGGCAGCCTGTCAGTCCTGGCCGACTGCTCTGCTTCCTGTGAGACCTCGGTCATCCCTAAAAGGGACTTGATTTAAAGAGTAACTGCGCCCATGTTTTTAAAGTACTTAGACATGCCTGTCGGCCGGCGCGCTATATAAATGGAGGCAGGGCTGTCATCGTCCTCGGTAGCCGTATCTCTGCTTGGCCAAAAGAGCAGTCCTCTCCGAGGTGGAGCAGAGCCAGTGGGGGAAGTGTTGCCACGCGGACGTGTTCCCAGACACCCCTCCCTAGTCGAGCCCCTCTCCTGGCTTATCGGGGCTACAGTCTGTTGCTAGGCATCAGCCCTAACTTGGGATATCTGGGACCCTTGCTGGAAGCGGACTCTGCTCTGGGTACTGTGGCAGGAGAGGGAGGTACTGGTAAACATGCCAGGAGGGCGGGCAGAGCAGGCCCCACGAACACCCTGCCTCTGGAAGCAGAGCATGGAAGAACACGGCCCTGAGGGGGCCCTGAGCTGCTGTCCCCACGGCCTCCTGACAGCCACAGAACTTCCTAGGAGCAAAACCTCATCTCCCACACCCCACAGCCCCCAGGCCTCCAAACCCAAACCAAATCCACGGCCACCAAGCAGGTGCTGACTCATAGCATGACTATTACCCTGCATGACTGTACAGGGTTTCCAAGACTCAGTCTTTACCGGATCAGACAGCTTTATCTTTCCCCTCTGAGCAGTTCATGGGTTTGAACCACTGACTTTGCGGTTAGCAGCCCAGCACCTAAACCCCAATGCCCCCAGAAACCGATCCTCAGAGGAATGCAGCAGATTGGAGAACCTAAGAGCCATCTGCGAACCACGGATCTTGGCGTCCAGACCTGTGCAGTGTAGAGACACACGGGGAGGAAGGAACAGAAGTTGAGCAAGCCAGGTCCCTTTCCACCACAGCCTTCGCTGGTCACAGCTCCCTGGGACCCTGCCCATCAACCATCCCATGTCCACCCCCTACTCTAACCCTGGGAGGTCACCCCCTAGCCCTCAGAGGAGCCCCCCACTCCTAAGAAGGCTGAGGCATTAAAGCGCTAAGATGCCGCCTTGCTATTCATATCTGCTGCTGATTTTTAATACAATCCTGATCAGACACAAGTTTCTCGGGAATTTACAATAACATCCGAATGTTTAATGGAGTACATTGTGTGGGGCCTATGTCAGCGTGTATTAAGTTATTCCTTTGTTTTTGCAAACAGTTTTGCTGGCATAGAATTCCCATCTCATGCAATTCAGTAGTTCGATCACATCAAGAGTTGTACAATTGTCCCCACAGTCAATTTTAGAACATTTTCTTTGTTCTTGTGTTCATCGTTATTAGCTCCCCACCAACCTCCCCTGTTAAGTTCTTCTTTATATCTTAAATAATTTGCAATATTTTGAAAGTATTTGGAAGAAAATTAGAAATCATTCTGAGATCAAACAAACAAAACCCTTAAGACTTCTTTGAGGGAGTGACGCTTGAGCAGAAAGTGGGAGCCAAGAGCAGTAGGGGTGGAGAGTGGGGACAGATGTTATGGGGGAGTCAGCATGTGGGAGCCCTGGAGGCAGCGAGGGAAGCCAGTGGGCCCCTGTAGTGGTGCCGTGAGAGGAGGCTGATGTGGATGGAGAGTCAGAGGCTGGA